GGCGAGGGCAGGCTGCGCAGCAGCGGGGGGGGGATCAAACGCGGGGGAAGGGGCGACTGCAGGGGCGACGGCAGGGGTGAAGGCATGCGATGTCGCCGGGAAGGGAGACGACGACGAGGCATTGGTGAACAGGCTGCGTCGGCGGAATACGTGGGAAGGAATGCAGGCGGCGGCGAAGCTGTGGGTGGATGACCTCCGCTTCTGGAACGAAAGGGAGGGAATTGCCATCGTGAAGTTGATCATGGAGGCGCACAGGTATCTTGTGGCGGTGGTGCAGGGAGAGTAGCCTTTGCCCATTCGTCGCAGCATCGTCTTGCCTCACAACAACATCTCGGAGCAGAAGATCGCGGACGAATCGAAGTTCAACGCTGCGAAGGAGAGGGCGGTGAAGGTGCAGGGGATCGCTTTGCGGATGATACACGGGTGGGTCTTCAAGTCTCAGAACAAGCAACGGGGGTACCACGCGGCGTACCAGTACTCACTGAACCACGTGGCCACCGACATCGCTCACGCCATGTGGATGGGGGAGGACTGGCGTAATTGTGTGAGCCCCATGGTCGTCCACTAGACGCTCGACATGGATATGAAGCTGCCATTGTGGTTCGTGGGCGCCGACGTCGAAGACAGGCACGAGGACGACTGGTGGGGGCTTTCACGAGCGCCGTGATAATTGCGGAGGCCACGGATGGCGGTCGGCACGAAAGGTTGATGACCATGGCCGACGCAATGCGGATGATGCTCGCGGCGACCATGTGGCTCATGCGGATGGCGGGTGACGATCATCGCGCGCATTACGACGCCTGGGTTTTCATCCGACTGACGGCGAAGCCGACGCTTGTCGCATCCATGCATCGCTTCTTTGACGCGCGTCGCCACATCGTGCAAGTTGCGACCGTCATCACCGACAAGTTGGCGAGTCCCCCCATCACTTTGATCGACCCTCCAATGTATGTTCCCGACTGGGCGTCCATCGGTGTCAAGTTCTCACATGACGCCACGCTGTCTTCCCCGATGGAGGCGAGGAAGCTGGATTGGCTGGGCACAGGGCCCCCGAAAGACGAAAGGCGACGAAGAGGGAAGCGGGGGGGGTCGATGACGCGTTCATGATGCCTGTCTTCAATGCCGCCATCGTAGGATAGGATAGGGTGACGAGCATTGCTTCGGCTAGCGGATGACGTCGGATGGTGGACTGGGGGGGGGATCGTCGTGCGTGTGCATTTTCGTCCTTTTTGTTGTTTTTCCTCGTGAGCTGCTGCTCTGTCGTCACTTATTCGAAGACGGCTGACCCATCGTCATCCCCTTGTGTACATACATCATGGGTAGCAGTCCGATTTCGTGGCCGCCGCCGTGCGCTCACCAACAAGTGGGATGGTGGTGGGTGTGGCGTGAAGGAAGATTCTCATCGAGGAGTTTTCGGTGGTGAAGATGGGAGAGATGGGAGGGGGGGGG